ACGGACTCGTCCGAAGGTGGAGCTGAGAGCGAGTGACCGGTAGGCAGAGGAATGGACTGTGGCGAGGAGTACGTGAAGCGGAAGCGCTGAAGGACCTGCTGCACCATGTGTGACTGAGTCAGGGTAATGGTGCGCTGTGCTCTATCCCGGGTGATTCGCAAGCCAAGATAGCTTGTCAGTTCACCCAGGTCTGTGCACGTGTGTCTCTTCTGCAGCTCCGACTTCACGTGGGCGAGTGCCTCAGTGTCAGAAGTAGCAAAGACCAAGTCGTCTACGTACACGAGAACGTAGAACGGCGGCAGAGTGGTGTCGGTGCGTAGAAACAGCGACGGGTCAGCAGTAGAAGGAGCAAACCCAAGAGCAGCAAGAGTAGTCCTCAGTGTGTCGTAGACTGGCCGCCGGAGGCTCCAGTGGGTACCAGCAGGAAACGACTCAGTGAAGCCAGGTGGGCGGCGCAGCCAGATCTCCTCGTGCAGGCTGCCCTGTAGGAAAGCAGTGCTGAATTCAAGAGAGTGAAGCTCGTAGTCACGCTGAGCGGCGACGTGCAGCAGAACCCGAAGAGTGGTCATCTTTGGGGTAGGGGAGAAGGTCTGGAAGAAGTCAACTCCCTCTCGCTGACTGAAGCCTCATGCAACGTAACGCGCCTTGAAGACAGGCGGAGAACCCGGCGGCCGCTTCACCCTGAAAATCCACATGCCACTGACGATGTTCGCCCCAGGTGGGGGAACCTCGTCGATGTAGGTGCCTGTGGACTTCCAGGAAGCCATCTCTGCGTCCATGGCTGTCTGCCACTGAGAGGAGTAGGGACCCTCTATCGCCTCTGCGTAAGAGCGCGGGTTCGGGATGTCTGGTGCATCCGGGTCTCCCTCAGGGGCAATCAGCATGGACACGAGATGAGGTAAAGCAGCGGCAAAGCACTCAAACTCCTCCTGTCTATCCTCAAGGACGTCCGTGCCAAGAGCACACTCACCCCCGACGGACGGAGGACAGACAGACTCAGACTCAGACTCAGCAACAAGACTAGCGGCGTAGTCTAGACGACAGGCGGCAGCAAAGTCAACAAGCTCAGCAACTAGAGCAGACGCAGCAGTGGACTCAAACGAAGGGTCAGTGACAACAGTGGCGAGGAAACGCGTGACAGTAGGACTAGCAGCACGAAGGGAGTCAGACTCCGGGTCCGGACCGTCAGGAAGAGAGGACGCAGGAGGAGACGGCAGAGGGACACGCTGTGGAGCAGTGGAAGGACAGAGAGTCATATAGTGAGTGCCAGGGACAGGAGGAGGACGCTGACGTGGAACACGACCAGTGCGGACAGCGCGAACAGGCGACTCGGGACGAGACGCAGGTGACGCAGGACGAGACAGTGCTCATCGTTGTTTCTATTCGCTGTGACAGTGCTTTGCCCATCCCAGTCTACAACATACACGTCACTTGATTCCAATTAGTGCAATCCAAATACAGCACAGCACGTTGGCGATAAGTTTCATCTGTGATTGGTGAATTTTCTTATCACGAGCTGAGGTCGCGCGCTGCTGTACAGTTCATATTGCGAAGCTACGCTGGATTTGGAAATACAGTGCATCCGCGCAAAAAGTTGTTGTTGTTTCAGCGCGCGCAGCTGCGCTGGATTTCTCAACTCCAGCGCATCCGCGCAGTTGCTGCAGTTGACTCAGCGCGCGCAGCTGTCCTTCCCCTAAAATTTGCAACTCCAGCACATCGGCGCAGTTGCTGCAGTTGACCCAGGCTAGTATATCTCAACGGAATGGAGGGGGCGAGGAAACGACAAAGAGGAGTCGACAAAACGACAAACTGCTCGGGGCAAAAAAACCAAACCCCACATGGACGGCATGCCATTCGGGAGCCTCAACCCTAAAATTTTAGGGTTTAGGCTCCCGAATGTTGCATGCCATTCCGATAGGGTTTTAGTTTTTTATGCCCGGGTCAGGGTGACGCTCCCGAAAGCGTCACCCCAAAGCGTCACCCCGGGCAAAACGGAGCGCCACCCCCGATTTCGTTGAGAGATACAGCGCGCGCAGCTGTCCTTCCCCTAAAATTTTCAACTCCAGCACATCTATCTTAGTTGTCGACTTGGTAGGAGGTTCTTGTTTTCCAGCATGCAATTTTTACACTGCATATGGCCTGTGCGCTAACTCGGCTAAACATTTGTCGTTTTTTGTCATTTCTGCAGGGCTTTATATTCTGCTAACAGTACTGACAATAATTGCGTTTCCTTGTGTCGTTCCTGCAGGGCTTCATAATCTACAGACGGTTCTGCATCGTTAACCTATGTGTTCGTCGTTTCCCCTTTTCGCTCGCTTTTTTTGTTCATGCTCATACTCATGCTCATGCTCATGCAAGTGAGACCTGCTCATGCTCTTGTTTTCTTGTTCTCGTGCTCATTGCAGGTTTGGGCTTGTGACATTTTACGGCGTGCTGATCAATTTCAATTCCATTATTCTTATTTTCCAAGTCGTTTTTTACCCTGCCTCAAACATGCCTTTTCCTTCTGCTCTGTGCAGGTTTCGGCCTTAGCTAGCAAGCGTCGGCCTTAGCCTCAGGCAAGCGTTGGCCTTTGTTTAAGCAGGCGTCGTCCCAAGCATGCGTCGGCTTCTCTCAAGCAGGCGTCGACGTTTGATTCAAGCACCCCACGGCCTTTGTTATCAAGCAGATAGTGGTTGCAGATATTATACGTGTTATCGATTGTGTAATCTTTTGATTATATATAAACATATTATTAATGAAGTTTTTATTCACAATTTGCGCAAACATCAGACAAACATAAATTATAATCGAGACTTGGTTATGGGTTACCTCCTAGACCAGATTTGTACTAGGTTTAGACGAATTCAGGTCAAAACCAATACTTGGTTTGGACTGGTTTTGGTGTTGTACTGAAGACAAACTTTGGCCAAAGATAGTCAAACATTTGACCTTGCAACTATACCAACCTTGGACCAAAAAAATGGTCCAAAATTGGTGCAATTTAGGACGAACACACCAATGTTTGACCTACTTTGGACCAATTCAATAGGGGGGTTTTTGTGATGGAGAGCAGGACGAGCGAGAGGAGGAAAAGGTGCCTAGGTCACAGCGACGACGCTGAGAAAACGTAAATAAGCGTGTCATAGCTCTTTTTACGCTTCTGGAGGTGATAAAATCTTGCTAGCAATGAGAAAAAAACGCAGATGTATTCTTAAAGCGACGGTGCACATTTGCCACCCAAAACCCAGAACCCTGGCGAACTGTTACTGTGGATGGAAAGTGTCCGCACGAAATCCTGGTTTTCGCCAGCCAGCACTTTCGCGCTGGCAAGCCTGGTTCAAAAAAAAAACTTCTGAACCCAACACTGCCAAAAGTTGCCCGTCGCTTTAACAATGTCGAGTGTGCCAAAGTGCTCACCAGTCTCAAAGTAGGCTACTTTCTATTTGTGTCGGAATTGGAATGAGTTGGCAATGCCAGCTGCACCAATTTGTACCATCTTCGCGTCGCCAATTTTGCGCGTCGCACATTGCGACGGTGCTCGAATTTCGAAATGACTCTGCAGTCAACGGAAGCATTGCACCAAGAAGCTGCAGCCACATGGACAACCAAACTGCCGTGTCAACGCAAAGAAGAAACGAGTCAACCGTACTCTCGTCTTGGTGACGGGAAGATTTCAGCAGCCGGCGTTTCAAGCAGTCATGCCGTACATGCCGGATGAAACGAAATGAGAAGGACAGAAACCTCGATACATGCTGCCCTGGTTTTAGTTCTAACACTTGACGCCGAACATCCTTAATCACATTTATATGATTAGTATTGTTCAGTATTAATGGCTACAGAACGTGAACAGGTTGGAGATAGGAGAAGCCCAATTGTGTTCGCTCTTCCGATAAGCCTCCCGAACGGCCTATCCGTTTTCTTTTCTTGCGTGAGGGATACCAGCACCGCCTGTTGCCGTCGCAACTGCATTGCGAAGCGCTCTCACTACTGTACTGCGAATTGCTCTCGCGACTGCATTGCGAATCACTCTCAAGACTGCGTTGCGGCGAACCGCGGGCCATGGCCACGGAATCAATCTTCGCCGCGCCACTACGCACCTCCGCGCCGCCCATCCCTCCGTCCCACCGCGCCAACGATCTCGTTCATTCCCCCTTCACCCGTAGTCGCGTGACGTGCCGTCGTGACGCCTCAACATGGCACGAGCTCCCTCGTTGCACGCGTATGATTTCGTCTGACAGCTGTCGCTTTGCCATTGGCCAGTCTGCTACTTGCGGGATTCCGTCGGTAGCGCTAGGCAAACATAAAGACGTGGATATTCGTTCGCGTTTTAGGCTGCACCGCTACAATCAGTCTCCGTTCCTGAAAGGCTCCCCTCACACTGCGCCATTCATGCAGTGGAGAGGCTGTTTATTCGCAAGTGGGACCGTTAAGAGCAGCAAAGGGCGTGGCTCGGCCAAATGCAGGGCAGCCAACGAAAACGGGACCGACACAAACGGGGATAGTTTGGTGCCATCAGGGAGAGTGTCACCCTCACCACCAGCATCATCAATATCATCATTACAATCATCACAATCATTACAGCCATCACAGTCATCATTACCGTCATCTCCTGATTGGTCAGAGTCGGATTTGGATGACGTGTCGCCAGCGTGTCCTGTTCCGGATTTCACGGATCTGGGCGGGGAGATTCGTCTCCTTCGGCTTCAGGAGCAATTCGGGTACCCGACAGGTGCAGCTTCTGGGCGGCCGCTGTTGGTGTATCTGCCAGGAATGGACGGCACCGGGCAGTGCCTGCAGCCCCAGATAAAATCGCTGACACGTGCTGGGTACGTGTGTGTCTTACTGTTAGGTATGTGATTGGATGGCGGTGTGTTAAGGCTTGCACACTCAGCTTATGCTGCTCTGTATGATGGCTCCTCCCTCTTTTCCCGCTCCACTCCTCCTCCCCCTCTTCCCCCCATCCCCACACCCGCTTTGGCATCCGCGCCCTTTAACACCCCCACCACCCACCGCTTCACATGGCTACAGCAGACTCGTATTTAACCCCACCCTCTTCCCCTCCGCCCTTCCCCCGTATTCCCTTCCGACTAGCTTTGACATCCGCGCCCTCTATATCCCCATGACCAACCGCTCCACGTGGCATGACGCAAATTCTTATTCGCTCCCCCCTCCCCTTCTCCCCCCTCTCCCCATCCACTTCTTCTCCCCCAATCGTGCTCGTCCCCTCCCCGTGCAGCTTTGACACCCGCGCCCTCTACATCCCCACCACCGACCGCTCCACGCGACATCAGGAAATTCGTATTCGCTCTCTCCCAATGCTCCTCACCCATCCCCTCCCCCCATACTCCCCCCTTCCCCCCATCCAGCTTTGACATCCGCGCCCTCTACATCCCCATGAGCGACCGCTCCACGTGGCGGCAGCTCGTTCGCCGAGTCGCGCCGCTCATACAGCAGGCAGCCAATGAGGAGGACGCCAACGGGCGGGGGGCCAGTGCGGGCGGGGGGAGCAGGGAGGTGATGGTGCTGGCGGAGTCGTTTGGGGCGTGCCTGGCTCTGCGCATCGCTGCTGCCAACCCCGGCCTTCTGCACCGACTCGTGCTCGTGAGACGCCCTTCCTTCCTTCCACCTTTGAGTCGTTTGGGGCGTGCCTGCCTGGCATGGCACTCCGCATCGCAGCCTCTAACCCCGGGCTTCTGCACCGACTCGTGCTCGTGAGACTCCTTTCCACTGACTTTCAAGTCGACTCAAAAGTCACCTCGTCTGCTTAGAGCATCGCATCGCCTCCAGGTGGAAGAGGTGACCTTTGAGTCGACTCAAAGGCTTGGCTCTGCGCATCGCTGCCGCCAATCCCACCCTGCTGCACCGCCTTGTGCTCGCGAGATGCCTTTCCTCCGCTGCCTGCCTTTCCTCCGCTGCCTGCCTGCCTGCCCCACGCGTTTTAATAGTTCCAATGCTCCTTTCTTTCCCATCTGCCTCTCTTTCCTCGCATCTTTGTCCGCTGCCCCTGTATCCGCTGCCCCTGTATCTGCTGCCCCTGTGTGAGTGACTGTGTCTGCTCTTCCAGTTCCCAATGGGTCTTCATTCTAGCATCATGCATGCTAGGCTGCTCTCACACCCACTACCATCCCTCTCATCTCCCTTCTTCCTCCCCCTTTTGCCCCCTTCCTTCTTTGGCCGCTTCCCCCTTTCCCCCGTGCACCCTTGTCCCCTTCCCCCGTGCTCCTTCGCCCCTTGTACACCACTGATGCCACTGATGCCACTGATGCCACTGATGCCACTGATGCCACTGATGCCACTGATGCCACTGATGCCACTGATGCCACTGATGCCACTGATGCCACTGATGCCACTGATGCCACTGACGGCCTTCCCCACCAACAACCCGCTCGATATCCTCTGCTGCCCTTTTCATGTGCCCCCTTGCCCCTCACCCTCGTCCCTTTCCCCCCACCCACCCCGCTAACCTCATGCCAAGCAGATCAACCCTGCAACGGCCTTCCCCAGCAACAACCCGCTCGATATCCTCTGCTGCCCTTTCATGTCCCCGCTTGCCCCCTCACCCCCTCGCCCCCTTCCTGCCTCCCCCCCCACCCGCCACCACCATTGCAACATGCGCTAACCCCGTGCCGAGCAGATCAACCCAGCAACGGCCTTCCCCAGCAACAACCCGCTCGTCAGCCTGTGTGTCGCCACGGGCCTCCTCGCATTCTTCCCCCCGCCGCTCTACGAATTCGCCCAGGTCACACCCACTCCGCGCTCTTGCTCCCCTCTCAAATGGTCCTTTGTATTAATTCAGCAGGGGGTACAGACATGCAGTTTGACTCGTGATTCCCTTAGACCCTCTGACCCATTAACCCTCTCTTGCTCTCCTTACTTGCTCTGCTCTCACTTGCTCTCCTCACCTGCTCTCCTTGCTCATACACTCCTCATATCATCCACTGAGCTAGGCTTTTTCCCCCCACCTTGGTCCTCCGGCCCCCACAACATGCGCGACAGTCTAGACTCAACTGTGTAAAGAAAACACTGCAACCTCACCTTTTCAGCGCACTCTTTTCCATTCCGCGTTTATCCAACGATTTCCGCTCTTGTGCGACGCGCGTCCTGCGTTTCTCTCTCTGCCTGCCTGCCCAGTGCCCGCCATGCCATGCCATGCCAGGATGTGGCGTTGCCTCTCCACCCTTTACCCACCCCATCACCCCCCTGCCTGCCCTTCACATGCCATGCCAGGACGTGGCACTGCCTCTGCTGGTGCGAGGCTAAATCCTACTCCCTGCAGCAGGCACGACCCGCCTTCTACGCACCTCTATACACTCTACCCACCCCATCCCCCCCCCTGCCTGCCCTCCACGTGCCATGCCAGGACGTGGCGCTGCCTCTGCTGGTGAAGCGAAGCCGAGTCCAACCCCCTGCAACAGCAGCCACCACTAGTGGGGTTGGGGGAGGGGGAGGGGGAGGAGGAGGGGAAGCATCACTGCGGGTGCTGTCGCCGATCGACTACGTGCCGGCGGCGTGTGCGTCGTGGCGGCTGTCCCTGTTGAACGACCAGTCAGGGCTGTCTGATGCCGTGCTGCGCTCCATACACGCACCCACCCTGCTGGTATGCTTCTTTCGAGGTCCCAAAAGTGCTACTATTTTCGTGATTCAACGCATGTTTATAAGGTCAATGTCTGAGTCGACTCAACGACCAGTCTGGGCTGTCTGATGCCGTGCTGCGCTCCATTCACACGCCCACCCTGTTGGTAGGAGATCTTCTCAACCATGGTAAAGTGGGGTGTGGCAGCAGGGAGTGAGTGGTCCACTTTAGAGGCGCCTATATCAGCGGCTGTCCCTGTTGAACGATCAGTCTGGGCTGTCCGATGCCGTGCTGCGCTCCATTCACACGCCCACCCTGCTGGTACGGCGCTCTGTTTCTGAGTCGGCTCATGGATTGAATGAATCGACAAAGAAGTTGACTACGCCTAAACTTTGAGTCGAGTCAACTGAATAACCAATTAAGCCTGTCCGATCCTGTGCTGCTGACTGTCATCCCCTCTGCCTGTCATCCCCGCTGCCTGTGTTTTTCACTTTTGGACTCAAGCTGGTTCTGTTGAACCAGCCGCACACCGTTCTTTGATGATACTTGAGAATACTCAAGAACCTAGTACTGTTCAACCAGCCGCAAGCCGGTAGGGCCAATCTAGGCTGGTAAGAATTTGTCGCGGGAGCAATTTCATTTCAAGTGCAAACGTGGTAGAAGGATGAGCGAGGGGTGGACGTGGACCTGCAGTGAAGCAGAAAGACGCGAGTGGCTGAAGTCCACTTGCTTGCGTTGACGCGAGTGGCTGAAGTCCACTTGCTTGCGTTGCATCCAGGAGGGTCATGCCCGCACTCACTCATCCCTCCGCCCCTCCACACCTCAATGCGTCTATTCCTATCTTACTCCCCTCGCCATGCCACCGGGTGGCATCATCTAAGGACAGAGTGCTGCCAGCAGGAGGTGACAGGCCGACTGCTCTCCCTTCTTTTGATGCGCCTCAACAATAGCCTCTGTGCCTACCTCCCTCCCCTCGCCTCGCCATGCCACCAGGTGGCATCATCTAAGGACAGAGTGCTGCCAGCAAGAATAGCCACCAGGAGCCTCCTTTTTCCTGAGACGCCACAGAGTGCTGCCAGCAGTGGCAGAGACGGGCCGACTGCTGTCTGTCCCTGCTTTTGAGGCGCCTCTAGAGAAGCTTTTATCCATGCCTCCCTCTACCCTCCACACCTCCATCCATGCGTCTATGCCTCACTTCACTCTTCCCTATCCCACCAGGTGGCGTCATCCAAGGACAGGGTGCTGCCAGCCGTGGCAGAGACAGGCCGGCTGCTCAACCTGCTGCCACACAGCAAGCGAGTCATCCTCCCCACCAGGTACCCATCTCGAAGATGAGTCGAGTAAAGAAGGTAACCCTCTCCCCACCAGGTAACCCTCTCCCCACCAGGTAACCCTCTCCCCACCAGGTAACCCTCTCCCCACCAGGTAACCCTCACCCCACCAGGTAACCATCTTGAAAGTGAGTCGAGTACAAAAGGTCCCCTCCAGGCTCCAGGTAACCCTTCCCACCAGGTAACCCTCCCCACCAGGTAACCCTCCCCACCAGGTAACCCTCCCCATCAGGTAACCATCCCCACCAGGTAACCCTCCCCATCAGGTAACCATCCCCACCAGGTAACCCTCCCCACCAGGTAACCCTCCCCACCAGGTAACCCTCCCCACCAGGTAACCCTCCCCACCAGGTAACCCTCCCCACCAGGTAACCCTCCCCACCAGGTAACCCCCTTCTCGCGCCTTCCTTCTCCACGCCTTCATCTTCTCCATCTGTTGTGATATTATATTTTATACAACATCCATAGGCTGGATTATATGGTGTAGTCGTTTGTTCTATTGGGGGATTGTTGGGTGTACCCTCCACCAACCACAACCTGTGGTTGGTCAAGATTGGACGTGGTCCTTCCTTGGCCCTTGGTTGGCACTTGCCAACCCTTGGTCGTCCTTTGCTCCACCATTCACAACCAACTCACAATTGTGGTTGCTTGGGCTACAAGCAAACTCACACAATTGGTCAACTTAGTGGCCAATAAGGTTAGCTTCTATTACCCTCCTCTCTTGCTCCTTGCCTGTAATATAGAGCCTCTTGGTGCATTACTCAATTCAATTTCTTGCGTTCTAGCACCATCTACTGGCATCGCGTCGTGCCCCAGCTCAGATTTGAGTCGACTCAAAATCGCGTCATGCCCCAGCTCAGTTCTCACCCTCTCCCTCGCCCCCCCTCCCCTCGCAGCGGCGGCCATACAGTGCTGCTGGATGGATGCTGACGAGGGCATTGCTGCCATCCTGCATCTCCTTGTATCTCTCTTGTGTGGTCAATTGTGGCTTTTGAGAATTCTCAAAAACCATCTCCTTGTGTCTTTCTTGTGTGGTCAATCATACCTCAGTCTTCCTTCTATTCCCCCTTTTGCTTCCACCCTTATTTCCCTCGCAGCGGTCACACAGTGCTGCTGGAAGCTGACGTGGACATTGCTGCCATCCTCGCCACTCATGGCTTCGCTCCCACCAATCACACGCCGGAGAAGGGGGTGAAGGGGGTGGTGGGGGGGAGAGAAGGCAAGGGGAAGGGCGGAGAAGGAGGAGAAGGGGCGGAAAGCAGCTGAGGAGGAGGGAGTTGGAGCGGCTGTATGAGGAGGTTGGGCGAAGCATGGACACGTGGCGGGTAAGTGGAAGGAGGGAGGGGTGGAAGGGGGGTAGGTGGGAGGAGCGAGGGAAGGGAGAGGGCGGCAAAATTGAATTGAAAGTGTTGATAGGGTGTTTTTGAGAATTCTCAAAAACACCATTCTACATGTGTTTTGAAAACACCATTCAAAATTGAATTGAAAGTGTTGATACACCATTCTACATGTGTCCAAGATCCTCACTGACTTTTGAGTCGACTCAAAAGTCACCTTGATACACCATTCTATATGTGCCCAAGATCCTCACTGACCCGGCCGTACTCAACTTTCCTCTCCGCACTCACTCCGCATTGCCCTCTCGCTCACTGTGTGCCCATGTTTCCCCCCTGCTCTGCTCCACCCTGCACTGCTCTGCTCTGCTCCGCTCCACTCTTCTCTGCCCTGCCCTGCTCTACTCCGTTCGTCTCTTCTCTCTCTGCCCTGCAGACACTGGTGTCGCCTCTGGTGGTGGGCGAGGGTAATCTGCAGCACGAGGTGACTTTTGAGTCGACTTAAAAGTCACCTCTTGCTCCCACAATGCCCCCTTGCTCTGCTCTGCTCTGCTCTGCTCTGCTCTGCTCTGCTCTGCTTTGCTCTGCTCTGCTCTGCTCTGCTCTGCTCTGCCCTGCCCTGCAGACACTGGTGTCGCCTCTGGTGGTGGGCGAGGGTAATCTGCAGCTCGTGCAGCGAGAGGTGTGCGCGTGCTGACATGGTGGCATGATGGAGTGATTGCATGTGGTGGGTGGGATGTGTGTGCGATGTGGGATGTGGGATGTGGGATGTGGGATGTGGGATGTGGGATGTGGGATGTGGGATGTGGGATGTGGGATGTGGGATGTGGGATGTGCGATGTGGGATGTGGGATGTGGGATGTGCGATGTGGGATGTGGGATGTGGGATGTGCGATGTGGGATGTGGGATGTGGGATGTGGGATGTGGGATGTGGGATGTGCGATGTGGGATGTGGGATGTGGGATGTGCGATGTGGGATGTGGGATGTGGGATGTGCGATGTGGGATGTGGGATGTGGGATGTGGGATGTGGGATGTGGGATGTGGGATGTGGGATGTGGGATGTGGGATGTGGGATGTGGGATGTGGGATGTGGGATGTGGGATGTGGGATGTGCGATGTGGGATGTGGGATGTGGGATGTGCGATGTGGGATGTGGGATGTGGGATGTGGGATGTGGGATGTGGGATGTGGGATGTGGGATGTGCGATGTGGGATGTGGGATGTGGGATGTGCGATGTGGGATGTGGGATGTGGGATGTGCGATGTGGGATGTGGGATGTGGGATGTGGGATGTGGGATGTGGGATGTGCGATGTGGGATGTGGGATGTGGGATGTGCGATGTGGGATGTGGGATGTGGGATGTGCGATGTGGGATGTGGGATGTGGGATGTGGGATGTGGGATGTGGGATGTGCGATGTGGGATGTGGGATGTGGGATGTGCGATGTGGGATGTGGGATGTGGGATGTGCGATGTGGGATGTGGGATGTGGGATGTGGGATGTGGGATGTGGGATGTGCGATGTGGGATGTGGGATGTGGGATGTGCGATGTGGGATGTGGGATGTGGGATGTGCGATGTGGGATGTGGGATGTGGGATGTGGGATGTGTGTGAGCAAGCGAGGCCAGAGTTGTGATGCATAAGCCGTTTCTAGAGAAACATGGACACCAGACGCTTTCACAGGTCATGGCATGGCATGTCGCCTTTCAGAGTGTAGAGCATCACATTCTGACAGCTTTCCTGACTTTCAAACACTACAATGTTTGAGACGTCTCACAACATTCCTGACGTAAAATACAATACAAGCACCACTACATTTCCTCGCCTTAGCGGATTCTCTTCGTTTTGAGTCGACTCCATCTCCTCACTTTCCCGCCCTCTCTGTCCTGCCCTCTCTCTGTTCCCTTCCTCTCTGCCATCAGCTGGCCCAGCATCCCAGTCGCAGTGTGCTGTTTGTGGGCAACCACACCATCTACGGCTTCTACGACACGCCCCTGCTGCTCTATGAAGTGAGTGTGGCACAGTGGCACCTGCTTGCTTCGTGTGGCACAGTGGCACCTGCTTGCTTCGTGTGGCACAGTGGCACCTGCTTGCTTCGTGTGGCACTGTGGCACCTGCTTGCTTCGTGTGGCACTTTGGCGCCTGCTTGCTTGCTACTCCGCTCTCCCTCTCTCTCACACCATCTACGGCTTCTACGACACGCCCCTGCTGCTCTATGAAGTGAGTGTGGCACTACACCTGCTGCTCTATGAAGTGAGTGTGACACTACGCCTGCTGCTCTATGAAGTGAGTGTGGCACTACGCCTGCTGCTGCTGCTCCGGCTTCTATTGCACCCTCTGCTTCGTTTCTGCCTTCCACCTATTTCTGCTCGTCCTCCTGCTCATCTTCCACTTTATATTTTTCAGTTCTCCCCACTTGCAGTTATTCTCACTTCTCCCACCACCCTCCCCTCATCTTGGCTCAACCATCCCACAAACCCCTTCTCCTCTCTTCTCTGCTCCTCTCTGCTCTCTCCCCCTTTTGCAGTTGTACATGCGGGGATTCAAGTGTCGCTGTCTCGCGCATCCCAGCTTCTGGCTGCAGGAGTCTCTGGGAGAGCTTCTGGAAAGGTGGGTCCGGTCCGGATGCTGTCAGGTGCACTGCGGTGCAGTCAGGTGCTGCTTCAATCGCTGTCTCGCGCATCCCAGCTTCTGGCTGCAGGAGTCTTTAGGAGAGCTTCTGGAAAGGTGCGCTCAGCTCAGGTGCACTCAGGTGCTGTCGCAAGTGCTCGCTCAGGTGCTGTTGGGTGCTGGCAGGTGCTGGGTTAAGTGAGGTGGGTTAAGGTGGGCTCAAATGGAGGGCCAGATGCTGGGTACAGTGCTGGTTCAGGTGCTGGCTCAGGTGCTGGTTCAAAGGAGGTGGGTTAAGGTGCTTCATGTGGTGAAATCTGGTGGTTGTTAGGAGATTATGGGAGGCTCTTTCTGGCACTGTTTGTATCAAGATGGGGAAAGGAATGTGCAGACGCATGGGACTAAGAAATTCTCATCCATGCATATTTAGAGTGGTAAGACGAGATGAGATGAGGTAAGGTGAGGTGAGGTGAGGTGAGGTGAGGTGAGGTGAGGTGAGGTGAGGTGAGGTGAGGTGAGGTGAGAAGAGTTGAGGTGAAATGAAGTGAGAAGTGATGTACTTTAGGTGCCCGCTCCTCATGATCCACATGCATCCTCATCTCATCCCATCCATGTCATCTCATCTCACCCATGCCATCTCATCCCATCCATGCCATCTCATCTCACCCATGCCATCTCATCACCTTGCCCTTGCAGCTTTGGTCACGTCAAGCCTTCGCCTCGTGCCTTATATGAGCTCCTTCAAGTAAGTCGCTGCTCCTCTTAGTGCGCTCAAGGTGACTCATCTCTCTCTTAATGACTTGTGTAATCTGCGCAGCACACGGCCCTACCCTACCCGGGTGCCCCTTCTCTCTCTCATTCGTATCCATAGCCGTTGTGTTGTGTGGGTGGGGGGGACAGCGGCACTTTCTTTGTCTCCTCATTCGCTGCCGCAGAGGGTTTTAGAAAGGCTTAACATTCGCTGTACTGATAACAATATGGACCGTAATTCCATCACCAGGGGCGTATCCACGATGGTGTTCACGTGATAAAAGGGAGTTTTTGAGACGTCTCAAAAACTCCCTTTTATGAAGGGGCGTATCCACGCTGGTGTTTCCACCCCCCGCCTCCCACCTCGCCGCTCTTTCCCCCTCACCTTTCTCCTTCCCCTCGCCACGCACTCCCATGTGCATCATTGTGACCCCGTCAGGAGGGAGGGAACGTGCTGGTGTTCCCAGGAGGTTTCTACTCGACTCAAACCACAACCCCTCACCTTCCTCCTACCCCTCGCCACCCACTCCCATGTGCCTCATCGTGACCCCGTCAGGAGGGAGGGCCCGCGCTGGTGTTCCCTGGGGGCTCCAAAGAAACGTGCCGCCTCAAGGTGGGGGAGGGGGGAAGGGGCGGGGAGGGGAGGGGAGGGGAGGGGAGGGGAGAGGGGAAGCAGGATGAAGAGGGGAGGACGAAGATTGGAAGGGGGTTTGTCCTGGTGGCTTCTTGGTTGAGTGAGGGTCAGGCCTGACACACGCGTGAGGTAGCATCCCTCCTTATATTTAAAGTATATAAATATGTATACATTATATATATATATATATCCCTGGTAACAAGCCGTGTCCAAGGCGCCTCAAAACGCACTGCATGCACCTGTTAGCCTGAGCTGACTGACGGTATGAGGGATGACAGGCAGAGGCGCATGCAGGCAGGGCCAAGAGGAGGGCGGCACCACCAGCGCCACCAACACCCACTCTCTCTACATGGACCCTCTTTTTTCTTTCCCCTTTCCGCCTTCCTCTTTTCCTGTTCCTCTTTCCCCGTTCCTCTTTCCCCGTTCCACTTTCCCCATTCCTCGTCCCCGGTTCCTCTTTCCTCATCCCCCGTCCCCGCGAGCCAGGGTGAGAAGTATCAGCTGTGGTGGGGCGCGGACGAGAGCAGCCGAGGCAGCACGCACGCAAGTGGATGGTGCCAGTGCCACTGCCACCAACTCTCACTCACATTGAACCTTGTTCGTCTTACCTCGTTTGTTCCGCGAGCCAGGGTGAGAAGTATCAGCTGTGGTGGGGCCCGGACGAGAGCAGCAGAGGGAGAACAGGTACACGGAGCAGCGGCACCAGAAGCACCAGCGATACCAGCAGCAGTGGCGATGGGGGCATGATGCGCATGGCAGCGAAGCTCAACACCATCATTGTGCCCTTCGCCATGGTCGGCGCTGATGACGCGTGAGTGCGCATGGCATTGATCAGCTGTGCTGCCAACGTGTCATTGTTTTTTGAGAATTCTCACTCTCCTCCGCCTGCTCTCAACACCATCATTGTGCCCTTCGCCATGGTCGGCGCTGACGACGCGTGAGTCTTCCGGAGCCTCGCTGTCATGTGTATCTTTTCCTTCTTCTCCCTCCTTCCCCCTTTCTTACTCCACCATAGTCCTCATTTCACCTCCATCTTCCTCCCTCCATCCCAAACCTCCCTCCTCCCTCCCCGTGCTCCCGTCCACCCGAATCTTACCAGATTTGACATTGCATTGGATCGGAATGACCTGCTCGCCTCCCCTCTGGGCAAGCCCTTCCGCTCCTTGCATGTTCAGCCTTGACCCACTACCTGCCCTGCCCCCCACGCTTTACCCCCTTCCACTGTTCCCCCTTCCCCCATCCACCTCCCACCAGTTTTGACATAGCATTGGATCGGAACGACCTGCTCGCCTCCCCTCTGGGAAAGCCCTTTCGCTCCGTGTACGAATCGCTAAGTCTCGACCCAGACACGGACATCAGCCCTTTCACAACCCTTCCCGGCACCAGCCTCCCCAGGTGGGATGCGGTGGGATGCGGTGGATTGGGGTGGGGCGGTGTGGGGTGGGGTGAGGTTGGGTGGGAGGGGTGGGATGCGATGGGATGGGATGGGATGGGATGGGATGGGATGGGATGGGATGGGATGGGATGGGATGGGATGGGATGGGATGGGATGGGATGGGATGGGATGGGATGGGATGGGATGGGATGGGATGGGATGGGGTAGGATTGGATGGGATGGGATTGATTGGAATCGGATGAGATGAGATGAGGTGAGATGAGCTTACTTGCTCGCCTACTCTCCTCCAACTCCCACCCCCTTCTCCACCCTCTCCCCCCACCAGCCTGATTCCCCTTCCCAGTCGACTGGAGAGAGTGTATTTCTATTTCGGCACACCTATTGACTTCAAGAACCTTCCACCATCTGCAATAAAGGTGCGATCGCCGTCATCATGCATCATGGCAGCATGTCATCATGCAAACATGGCACCACATGTGGCCCATCGCAGCATGCCATGTATGCTCTGACTGATCTCTCGTGCCATGTAGCATGAGAGTTTGCGCAAGTGCGTTGGCGCCTGGGCATGGGTGTATACATTGGTGTATGCTGGAGTGAGTGCATATATATATATGGAGGACTATCTCAAGTGGTCTTCTATTTGCCCCTTAAATCCCCATCCATCATTGCTTTCCCCAAGCACCTCAAGTGCCTGCATGTTTGCATCATTCCCTGCTTGAGTCTGTTGCATGTGCGCTTGTCTCGTCTCACATTTCTATTGACGACTCGTTTCCGTCTCATGCTCCCCTTTCTCCCTCCCCTCCGATTCCATCCCCCCTCCTTTTTCTAACAATTCTGCTGTATTGTGTCGTCCCATGGGGAATGTGCTGCAACCACCGCTCTGTCACCACCCCTATGCCACCAACTCTCACCCACTGTACTCTCTGCACCGCGTCAACTTCAGGACGGTATGCGGCTTGTTTTCAGTCGCCTCCTATCTCACACGCATCTTGCTTTCAGCTTCTCATTCAGTCGACTCTTCGTTCCTGTCTGTCGTTCTGTTTTTTATCCAAGTGACGTGCTTCCTTCCCTGTTCAGCTTGGTTTCAGCCTCTCACTCAGCGCTTTTCTTCTCAGATTGATTTCTCCCTTACTTCTTTCCTTCAACGCAAAAAAACTGTGCATCGGGCTTGGCGGGAACGCACGTGTGTGTGCGGCCTTGCTTGTGTGAAATTCTGTGCATGTATGTATCCATCCATGCATGTATGCATCAACATTCATGCTTGCATGTGTGTGCATGTGCATGTGCATGTGCATATGCGCATGATCCAGGCATGGTGCGGCATGCAGTGGAGGAGGGTATTAACCACCTGCTGGCATTGAGAGAGACCGATCCGGTGAGTAGATAGAGAGGAGGTGAGCTGGGAAAGACCCATTAAGTTGGGATAACCCTGTCACAATGGGTTTGCAAAAGGCCACAGCCAGGCATGGCAGGCATGCAGTGCAGGAGGGTATCAACCACCGGCTGACACTGAGAGAGAGCGACCCAGTGAGTTGAAACACCCCGACAACACGTGCAATACATGCACGAAGGGGTAAGTCAGACATGGTGTGGCATGCAGTGGAGGAGGGTATCATCAACCACCGGCTGACACTGAGAGAGAGCGACCCAGTGAGTTGAAACACCCTGTGCGCGGATTGACATCTGTCTGTGTCTCTCTGCGCCCTCCCGCACTGCAGGAGAGAGAGCTTCTCACCCGCTTGACCTCCAAGGTGCAACGCTTGTGGCCGGAATTCTCCCGGAATTGACTCCAGCTGAGCGAAGCTTTATCGTGGGTTCTGTCATTCGATATACCTCCGCAAATGCATATGCTACATATTTATGCATTGGAGCATTGCACCAATATAAAGATAATGCTTGATGGGCTCTCGTTTCCATATTGTGGTGGTTGTGCATAAAACGATGGCTCTTTGTCTTCGTGTTTCCATATTGTAGTGTACATATTCTAGGTGTACTATCACAAAATCATACAGAAGTGGTAATGTGCTGCAAGGGGTACAAGTTTTGCTGCCTGCTTGGTCAAAGTGGCGCCGCGCCACCCTGACATCGAAGTTTGTGTCAGCTTGGCGGGAATGACATGGCGCAGCGCCAATCAACAGCCTCCCTGGAATCTTGCTTGTACAGGAGTCTGTTCAGTGATCGGTTGGGGGGATGCGCGAGGGTCGTTTGCTTCGGTTTGAAATGTTGATTCGGACGGAGGCGGAAAAAAAAGGGCGAAGGGGCGATCGCTTCCGCCCGCTCGCGGGAGCGAAAGGGGTTTCGTTCAAGCTCCCCTGAAAGGCGAACTCGCCCTGGGGGAATGGTGTTTCCCCTTTCACGAAAAAACTTACAGAGGTGACACAAATGGTAGGAAGCTCTTTACTGGTCGACAGCCTGTTTACTTCAGCGAGAAGTGTTGGCACAGCTAAAAGTGTTTATCTTGCTCGTCTGATCAGAAACCTCTGGCTTCGTGGTCGTCAAATCAGGCATTGCAGAAAAGCAGAAGCCAGAGCATTAGCAGGTCAAACTTGAGACAAGATGATAGGTTCCACAAGGATCCATTGTCTTCCTGACCATGTTCTTGTCAGGATCTTCTGGCATTCCGACGTTTTCCAGCCTACCTCGTCATTTTCTCTTTCGGACTACGCTAGTAGGGAGGAAAACGAAGATTCAGAGCCTGACCCGCATTTTTCGACGCCTCCTGCCTCTGCCGATGTCGCTCACGTTCTCCTCATTGCCTCAGTCTGCAGTCGCTGGCGGGAGCTCGCTCACGAATCCGTCACAACGCTTCTCGTTTCACGAAATCGTCTGGTGTCTCGCGAGGATCTCAAACGCGTTCTGGTGTCCTTCCCGAACCTCACTCGCCTGCACTTGAGCAACGGAAGCATGGAAACGATAGACGACGAGTTTCTGGCATTTCTCTGCTTTTCGTCACCAAACCTAACCGCTCTTCATGTCGGCACAGGCATCGCTCCATACGACGACCAGGAGCGTGACGAAGAGGAGGAGATGGACGACTTTGACGATTCAGATCACCCCGTCACGACAGCTGGGCTGGAGATTCTCTTCCGCTATTGTCGCCGCTTGGAGCAGCTGTCACTCCAGTGCCTCCATTGGACCACAAAGCTTCCGCCTTCGTTCTTCCAGTTGACGCGCCTGCACACGCTGTCACTGGGAGATGTTTCGCCTTTGTCTGATCCCAACTTCGCGAATCTCTCTTCTCTCACGAAGCTGTCTATTCAAAAGCTGGACATGCGGTTACATCAGATGTCGCCGTTAACTCGCCTTTCGAATCTGACCAGCCTGTTTTTCCCAGGAGAGACATACTTCCACAGTTTTGAGGGGGATTTCTCATTTGGTCAACTGACAAGTCTTCGTTCGCTGGGATTCGTGCGGGGAACAACGGACTTCCCTGCAATGTTTCCGCCAGAATCGCCGTGTTTCAGTCTTCAACGTCTGCTGCTAAGCGATATTCCGAGCATCCCGCCTGAGGAGCTTGGAGAGCGGTTTCCGATACTTCGCGAACTCTGCCTTTCCGATAGCAGCTATTTCACTGAGCTACTGGTACCAGATTCCCTCACAAGCCTCAGCACATTGGAAATTCTAACCATTTGCAACTGCAGAATATCCAGCCTGCCCGAGAGTCTTGGAGATTTTCCAGGGCTGAAGTCCTTAGTGTTGAGAAGCTTGTCGCTGAAGAGACTCCCAGATTCTATTGGGTTACTCACAGGGCTTCAGAAGTTATCTTTGGACTATGTGGGCATTGACACCCTCCCTGCAGCGATTTCCTGCTCGGCTGCTCTTGAATCGTTGAGCATCACGGGATCCAGGCTGACGTCGATTCCGGAGGAGATAGACGAGCTGACGAATCTCCGCAATTTGGTGCTGAGCGGGTGTGAAGAACTGCAGCAGCTGCCGTCGACATTCAGCAATCTCTCTTCTCTAACACGGCTCGAAATCAGCAACTATCCCATTGTTACCCTTCCAGAGGGTACAGGCCATCTTGGTGCCCTGCGAGAGCTGACCTTGAGCTGCTGCAATGAGCTGACAGCTCTGCCAGCATCCGTCACTCAATTGAGCCGCCTGAAGACTTTCAAGGCCCGCATGTGTATCAATCTCGCGTCTGCACCTCGAGCCTTGGGAAACCTTTCATGCCTGCGGGAGCTGGATCTGACGGAATGTGTTCTTCTAACGGAGACTTTAGAATCATTGCCGCGGTCTTTGGAAACATTGAGCTTGGGAAACGACACCAGCAGCATCGTTCTTCCAGACCTGTCAATGACTCCGAACCTTAAGAACCTGAGATTAATTCAGGTTACTATCATGGACGCACCAGCGACCAGCCGTTGCCTATCTCAAATAGAGCACCTGGAGATGCGCCTGGACGCTGAACAAACAGAG